TAAGAATATACCATATGGTATATTCGATCGACAATATTCTTAGAATATTCAAGGGAGAATAATCCATTTATAGACATTCTATGCACATTCTTTCGGGAATAATCCTGCCATATTCATTCAAGCATATTCTATGAATATTCTAAAGGCATGTATATATTCCAAGAATATTCTATGAATATTTGGAATATATACGTTCGTTTTATGATATACAGGGAATATTCCATGAATATCTAGTGCTGTGTGGGATTTGTGTTTCTGATTCATTACTGTTCATAATACTATAGAAAACTTTCTTTGTATCAATTCAATTGGAACTTTTAATAGTTATCACCTGAATTCTCCTGAAATAACTGAAATGGAAAGTAGTACCATTCAACCTCTTTCCTATTTAAGCCTACCAACTGAAGGAAATGTTTTCGCACATTCGAAAGTTTTCTGTGGAGGCTGAAATATTCAAGGTTTTCAATTTGGCACACGGTGTACATTTTTAGACACGCGTATTTTTTTGCAGGGTCAATCTTGTGTCTGTGTATAGCGTTGTGTAATACGTCGGTGATTTGCGAATTGTCGAAGATAAGATCTCAACAGAGAGTTTTGGTGCGGAGAATAAGTAGATCTATACTGAGTAATCGCGTGGGATGTGCTAGATATCAGACTCCAGAAGAAGTTGCTTTCGCTAAATTGATGGCGTTCGTATGCATCATATTCCTAGCCTGCTGGGTGCCTCAACTGGTGAGTGTATTTTTTTTTTTCGATCAGAAAAATGTAAAAAATTGAGAAGAAGCAATTACGAAAAGTTTTTAGAGTACGCATCATCTGAATACTTTGAATAAAATTGAATAGAACTGATCGATACTATATGAATACTCATGTATTTGAAGTATATCACATTTGGAACTTACTAATACAGATCACTTAATCTTATCATTATACAATACGTTTTTTAATATACGAAATCAGAAATGAAATTGATCTTGGGTTACCTACTTATACTCTAACAATATCAATTCATACATCCAACATGCACAATCTACTTACTCCACTGAGTTCAGATCTACATGAATCTTCATTCGAAATTCAGTCCGGAGAACTTATATCAAATTTTTAAATTTTCCGTGAACCAATACGTACATACAGGGTGATTTAAAAGTACTTTGACAAACTTCAGGAGGTGATTCCTCACAATATTCTAATATGAATTGTCCAAATAAATAAATGTCCGGAAACGCTTCGTTTCCAAGATACAGGATGTTGAAGTTTTATTTTTATTTTCGTTTTTTTCAAATAACTTTTGAAATACTGAACTTAATTAAACGAAACTTGGTAATAGGAGGTTTTTGAGGTGT